TATATCCATTCCTAGCTTGGCCTCAACCTACATTTTCATTTTTTTCTATTAGGTTTCTGTGCTTAGTCACACTAAACAACTACTCATTCCTTCACTCTGATGTTCTCTGCTCCCTGCCATCACTACCACAAAAAGAAAAAAAAATGTAAATCCCAAGCCAACTTTTCTCCATGAGATCCAAAATGACAGGCAGTTCTTTGATGTACTCGTTTTTTTATGTTCTTGAGTGCTGTTTTAAAGCAAATGTTTAACAGTAAGAGTTGTCCATTTACACTGGGCGCAATGGTACACAACTGCAATCCTAGCAGCTTCAGAGTCTGAGGCTGGAGAGAGGGCTGAGACAGGAGGATCATAAGTTCAAAGCCAGCTCAGCAATGGAGAGGCACTAAACAACTCAGTGAGATCCTTATTCTAAATAAAATATAAAATAGGGGTGGGATATGGCTCAGTGGTTGAATGCCCCTGACTTCAATTCCCCATACCAAAAAAAAAAAAAGGCTCAGTGGTAGAGTGCTTTCCTAGCATGTGTGAGGCACTGGGTTTGATTCTCAGCACAGCATGTAAATAAATGAATAAAATAAAGGTTCATTAACATCTAAAACATATACTTAAAAAAAAAGTACAGGACTTAGTCTGCATATATCATCTTGGTCCTTAGCACCATAACCTAAAACGATAATGTCTGCTGAAGGGTCATTTCCAAATTAGCTGTTGAGTCTGCTATGGACAGCCTTTCAACTGGTCTGACAACTTTCCTTAGAAGGAGATATATTGTGCAATTTTTTTTTTTTATCAAATTAATGGAAGAAAGTACTCCCAGAACTTTCTGGCTTCAGAATCACCATTCAGAAGTAATTCTTGATATTACAATACCTCAATCCACTTTTTCTGATGTTTAAAAATACTGTCTATTGCTAATTTCGCTGATGCTCATTTCACCTTTATTTATTTATTTAAATTTAACCATGGGTTTTCAAAAATTGGTAGACTTCTTTATACAGAATAAGCTTTTTGAGGTCAGGGCCAAGACTTATTCACCTTTTATCTTTCCTTAGCTCTTAGCTTAGCCTTTCCAGCCTATAATAAGCAGTGAATAAGTAAATGACTAAGGAATGAATTTATGTACTAGAGCTCATTTAGAACCATAAGAACAATTTTTTATTTGGAATTATCTGCATTTTCACTTAAGTTGACTATCAGTGTTTCTCTTGAAGCACTTAACTGGCTTTGCAGAGGTCTTTGGGTTGTTTAACTTCTATGGTTATTTAATGTATTTTATTTAAGTAAAATGGTTAAGTTGCTTTTCAGTGCATTGTATGTAAAAGTACTTGTATTAATGTGCTATACAGTTTTTTTCCACTTCAAAATATTATGAAAATTATGTGGTTCTAATTTTGTCTTCATATTTTATAATGGGGAGGAACTTCCAATTTTAAAAAGTACATGCCTCATTTTTCTTTTATTGTCTCGATGTGAATATAAACTTTAAAAGCTGTTTTACAGAACTTGATAAGAATTGAACTACATGGCTTACATATAGTTTAAAACTTAATTAGTATTAAATGAACATCTTGGTTATAGAATTATCCTTAAAATTATAAGTAGTGAATTGCTAAATTTACCATATAGTTTATTGCCACACTGCCTATCTCCATAGTTGTTTGTCAGTTTAGCTCCAATTGTTGTCACTAGCTGTGTTTTAAAAATTTAAACATGGATTTTAACATTCATGCATAAAACAAAATATTCGATTTTTATTCAAACTGGATCAGGTTCAATAAAAGAGAAAGATATTAATAAAAAGGTGTTAAGTAGTTGTCATTTAAGTTGGGTTATTTTAATGAGTAGAATGTAGCTAAGAATTATGAGAAAAGTTGATTTGGCTTTAAACAGGTCTTAGGGCTTTATTTGAATGTGAGTACCTTATATTCTGAGAAACTAATTTAAAAAAATAGTAAATTTTGTGGTAATGTACATTTGGGAAAAACCCAAGATCCTATTTATCTTACCCTCTATTCAGCTTTTTTATTTAAAGCTTAGGGTAGATGATTGATGACTCTAACGTATTTTCAGACTATTCAGTGCTAAACTTTACTTTCCCTAAGATTCTTAAGGAGGGGGGAGAGGTAAATGTCAGGTACAACAACTTTCTAGAATTACCTCCTCACCATTTTGAAAATACACTTGATTTCTTGTGACAGAGTTGGAATGGGCATGAGACTTTATACTGGAAAATTTCTAGTAATTTATAATATGTGACCTCTGATGGAACATAACACAATTATGGTTTGGAGAATATATTCTTAATGTTTGTGGTTAAGGGCTTCATAGATAAATTAAAATCCTATGCAAAAAGAAAAAAAAATTTCCCTAAGAACAGTAATAAAATTACTTAGAATGAATGAACATTCACTGCAGGTCATGTTAGTAAATATGAAATCAAGACTGACCAGGGGATAATAATTTTGAATGATGTTACTTAGACTTAATATAAGAGCATATTGGGACTTAAAACATATCCATCTGAATATAATAATTTTTAAATATAATCTGTTATCCTCTTTGGTAGCATTTAAATTTATGATCACTTAAAAGAGTTTTTGTAATATACTATGTTCCTAATATGTAAATGATATAGCATTGGATTTGAAAGATGTTTTATTATTATTATTATTTGTTATTTATTATTAATGCTTTAAATTTTTTGAATTAACAAATTTTAATTTGTTAATAGGTTTATGGCTACAAATGATTTGATGACAGAATTGCAGAAAGATTCCATCAAGTTGGATGATGATAGTGAAAGGAAAGTAGTAAAAATGATTTTGAAGTTATTGGAAGATAAAAATGGTGAGGTACAGAATTTAGCTGTCAAATGGTAAGTTGTATTTTGCTACTCCTGTGCCTGAAAACACTCTATGATTGGTAATTACCATATTTTGTTTCTAGATTATTAAAAATAATAATAATAATAATATTAGGTAACTAGTGAATGTTTAGTGTTTGTGGTATATATATATATTTATTTACATACATAATGTAAATTAATGAGCTTTTCATGGTATTTCTTTTAATGCTTTTAGAATATATATAGGGAATTCCAGAAGCAATGGTTCTCCAACTTATTTGACCATAGCCTAATTTTTCATATGGGTAAAAGCCTGTTTGCCTCTGAAATATTAATTTCAATAGTAATCGGATTTGAAAACCAAATGTTGAAGGAAAATCAACATTCATTTTTTAAAAACTTCTTATTTAATAAAGAATGGAAGCAATCAAAGCCATAGTTAAAACTGATGACACGATGGTTACAAAGAATTTCCTTAAAATAATGGAAATTCTAATTGTTTTTTGGATATATAATGCAATAAATAGGAGCTTCTTGTTAGGCACGATGTTGGCAGTTTGGTTTCTGCTTAGAATAATTGGGTACAGAATCTGAATTCTTAAAAATTTTTGTTAATATACCTATTTAATTTGCGAATACTAAATTTTAGAAATCTATAATTTATATACCAAGTTATTAGTAAGTATGACCTTCAATTTTACACAAAAATCAAACTGAAGTTATGTCATTTTTGTGTTTATCTTTGGTATCCTTTTAAGTAAAACATTGTTCCATTATTGCTCCTTTGTTGAGTCCTTAATAAAGATTTCAAATTTATTTTAGGCTAAGTTCTTAAATATTTGCTGTAAAATCAGGCAGAAAATGAAAAAAATCATTGGTCAACCTAAAATCTGTAGATACACAGTACAAATATCTCTAATTTGGAACATTTGCAAGTTTAAAACACATCCTCAGGAAATGATAAGTGTAGAATAATACAACTGAATTAGTAATTTTACTCTTTCTATGTTATAATTGTTTCCTGTATGCCTGATAAGCAAAATTCAGCTTTGTTCAAAATGTGCTAAACATTTACTATAGTCTTAAAGCAATAATAAGAAGTGAATTAAGAACTATGTACTTTGCTACTCTCAATAAGTACATAGTTCTTAATTCACTTAAGTATGAATCTTTACTCAAAGAGGTTGGAGAAGAAATATTCGAGAAAGTAAAGGAATTTAAGATAGAAAAGAATTCATTACCCAACAGAAAGATCTAAAAAGGTTCTTTGAGGTTTCAGATGTCTCTGAAATCTTAAAGAACACCTCCAGTACAGATAGTTCTAGTTCTGTTCCAGAACATAAGATCTGAATACCGTCCACTTTTATTTAAACTAATTACTGACAATAAATCTTGACCAAAGATAACACTAGAAAGGGGCAACTATAGACCTCATTTAAATGTTTAAAACTAAATATAGCAAAAAGTTAAGAACAACACACCTATGACCTACTGGGGTTTAACACAAGAGTGTAAGGGTAATCACTTCAATATTGTGTGCTTTATGAATATAGTTATTTTGTCATGTTTCCTATTGGCAAAGGAAGAAAGTACATAGTTGTCAACACACTGATAAAATTCAACATTGATTCTTGATTGAAAAAAAAAACACAAGTGCATTCATTACAATTAGAAAGGTGAAAACACATTTTCTCAAAAAAACCAACACCATACTAAACATGCCATTAGACTGAAGAATAGGTCTTTATTTCCTTGACAGAATTCATCACTTGTTTCAGGTAAATCACTTAATAATATAGGAATTGAAGGTCGCTGTTTATCATTAAATATTACATTTCTTCAAAAGCTAATAAAATACCAGATAAACTCACACTAAGGTCAGAGACAAAGCATCCGGGTATGTTTTTGTCTTTCTAAGAGTATTAGTCACTATAAGGGACAATAGGAAAAAGCAAGTCAGTCAAGAAAAATGTAAATAATTCAGTGGGGTAGCAGAATGTAAAGTTTAAAAAATTAGTAGCTTTTCATTTACTTATGAAAATCAGTAGCTTTTCATATAAGCAGTTATAACCAATTAGAAGCTATAATGGAAATGAATACCTATTTACTATAGCATCAGAAAGACAAAACACCTAGAAGGAAGTGTAACAAGAAAATTTAACAGTGGTGATCTTGAATGGGAGTATTGTATAAGGTAAGGTTACAATTTTAACTTTTTCAAAACTTTTAAGAGGAGGCCAGTGCATTAGTATTCACCTGTAATTTTAGCAACACTAGAGGCTGAAATAGGGGGATCACAAGTTCGAGGCCAACCTCTGCTACTTGGTAAGACCCAGTCTCAAAATAAAAGCAAACTAAAAGGGCTGAGAACGTGGCTCAGTGATAGAGTGTCCCTGGATTCAGTTCCTAATACTATCAAAGAAAAAAGTTCTGGGAGAAAAACTTTAAAATATTCTTAGATAAAAATGTTCTCAAGCAAATGGAAAGACATCTGTGTCCTTGGATTGGGTAGCTCAGCATCAGCATTGTAGAGTTGAAGCCAAGACAAATTGACTAAAGTTTATGGGGTGGGGCGGGCCTGTATACATAAAAGTTGAAAAAACTGAAAAAGTAAAACTATTTCTGGTGGTATAGTGGTAGTATTTAGCCATGTGAAACAAAAAAAAAATCATACTATTATGTCTATAATCAAAGCAGTTAGGTACTGGGGCATTCATAGACCAATGAAGCAAGTTATAAGGGCGTTATAAGGGCGGCATCACAGGGGGAAAGATGGAACACTTCCCCCCAAACTGGAAAACCATTTGAAAAGATGAAATTGTACTTTTATATAGCATCTCAAAATTCAAGTTTACATCGTTCAGATTTTGTTCACAATAAATTGGCTTCGCCTGTTATAAAACATACAGTGGAATATAGTATGTGCTGCTTTATGTCTTGCATTTTTTTCTCTCCTAACATCTGTGAAATTTGTTCATGTTATGTGTATTAATAGTTTATGCTTTTTTAAAAATCATTAGTAGTTCACTGATGTTATAATTTGCTTATTCATTTGGTTCCTTTCCATGGTTTGGCTATTGTGAATAAATGAACATTCTTGAAACAGTCCTTATTCGGTCATGTATCTTTTAATTTCATATTGATTGGTGCCTAGGAGTGATATTGCTATTATCTATTTAGGTCTTTGAGAAGAGTTATTTCCCAAAGTATATGTTCCATTTTCTTAAGATTAACCAAATGTGCCATATTCTCACTATTTTTAGTTGGGTTGGTCTTTAGTTTTAGCCATTCTAGTAGATGTTTAACTGTGGTCTTAACTTACGTTTCTCTCATAACTAATGATGTTAAAACCTGTTTCATATGTTTCATTATTGGCCATTTGTTTTCTGTGGATACTTTGATATTGAGTTTGTCCTTTCATTTATTAAATTGTAGGATTTCTTCATGTATACTGGACACAGGTTCTTTGGCACATACTTTTTGTAAATACTTTATCCCAATTTGCTGAGTTTAAGTTGGTTTGTTTTTTGTGGTACTAGGAGTTTATCCCAAAGCTCATGTGCTAGACATTGACTCTACCACTGGCCTATATCCCCAATCCTTAATTTTCTTTTCTGGTTATTGTTTTCTGTTTCCTCAGAAATCTTTGTTTACTTTGGGTTACTAAAACTTTCTCCTGATAATCCTTATAGGTTTAGCTTGTGTTTTTAGTTCTGTGATCTATTGTGAATAATTTTTGCAGAAAATTAGGTTCACTTTTTTTTTCATGTGGATATCTAGTTGTTGTAGCACTACTTATTGAAAAGACCTTCTTTTCTTACTGAATTACCTTTGCATTTTTGACAACAAATCAGTTGAGTATAAAAGTGTCTGTGTTTGTAGACTTTCTTCTGTTCCATTGATCTGTTTGTCTGTTCTTATACCAGTTTTTTTTTTCTTTTAACATTTATTAAGATTTGTGTTATAGTGCACCTACCATATGGTAGATCTTGGTGAATATTTCCTATTCACTTAAAAAGAGAGTATATTCTTTAGTTGTGTTTGTTAAAGTGTTTTATAAATGTCAGCTCAGGATAGTTGATGGTGCTTTAGATTTATATCTTGTCTGACTTTTTTGTTTGGGTAATCTTGATTACTAAGAGGGATTTTTAAGTTTCCAACTATAATTGTTGATTTATCATTTTTCTTTGTAATATCAGTTTTCCTTTCGTTTTAAAATTGTATTATTTAAAGACAAAATTATTGGCATTTGTTTAAACAGGAAAACTATTCAGGATTGTTGTGACAGGCGTTAGGATTATTGCAAAAGCAGACATGGAAATTCTATATTCTTTTAATCCCAAACATGAAAGAAAGTTCCAAAAAATATAAAAGCAGTACTGTTTCCAGTACTTTTTCTGATTTTTGAGAATGTAATTACTTTTCTTAAAAATGATACTATTCCTCAGATATTTGTCTTAACTGTGAATACAAGGATCAGTGGAGATTTATAGCCAGCAAGCAAAATGAAGGAACTAGGAGACGTAAAATTACATGAGACACACCAGGGTGAGCCAATTCTTATTACCACTGAGCTGTACAGACCCAGCAAGTACAGAGCAAAGGTCAAGGTCTAATTGAAAAGTGGTCTCAGAGGAACCTAACTAAAATTTGGTGACTGTGAACACATTTATCATAATTGTTGTCTTCTTGATATTTGAGTCTTTGAGTATGTTTTTATTGTAGACAACAGGTAATTGGATGTGGCTTTTTTTCTTTTATTCAGTTTTATAATTTCTGCTGTTCGGTGGAGTGTTTAGTTGATTCACTGACATTTATTGTAAGTATTGATACGGCTGGATTTTGGCATGTCATTTACTTTAGTTTTCTAGTTTTGTTATTATTTTCCCCCTACTTTCTTTTGGGGTAATCAAATACTTAACGCAGCACTTCCTGAAGTTTGGTCTAGAAGGGCCCTGGTATAGCCCTTGACCCTGAAAGGGTCAGACTGTCATGAATAATACTGAGGACTTATTTTTCCTTTTGATTCCATTTTCTCATAGCGCACAGCATTAATTTTCTAGAGGCCACATGACATGCAATCGCACAACAAACAGTGCAAAAGCAGATATGGAAATTCTATATTCTTTTAATCCCAAACATGAAAGAAAGTTGCAAAAATGTAAAAGCAGTATGGTTTTGGTAATATTTTTTAATTTTTGAGATTATAATTTTCTTAAAATGTTACTATTCCTAATATGTAAATAGTTTTATTTAATTTTAATATGGTAAGCATTGACAGATACACCCACTTAAAGATAATTTCTTTAGGGTCTTAAGTGATTTTTAGAGTGGGTCCTAGACTCAAAAAGTTGGGAATTCCTGTTATATGTTTTGTTTTGATTCTTCTGTTGTCTTTTAAGATGTGTCTCTTTATAGACTCTAGGGATTACAATTCATGCCTTAAATTTATCAGTCTATTTAGTTAATATTGTGCCACTTGATATAGTTTAATTCCTCCCCGAAATAATAGCAGTTCATTTACTTTCCTCCTGTTGTGTGTGCTCCTGCTTTTTAAATACATTGATAAGTATGTGTATGTGTGTGTTTCTATAATACAGCATTCTTTATGGCTTGAGGGGCAAAATACAGTCCTTTAAGTGTAGTTTATCATGTGTGTACACATAACACCATTTCTGGTGGCTATAGTTATTCTTTTCTGTTGACCCAAATTACCATCTTGTTTAATTTTCTTTTAGCTTAAAGATTTTCCTTTGCTAATTAATTATTAATACTACAGGCCTGATGGTGATGCATTCTTTCAATTTTTGTTTGTGTGAAATTGTCTTTGTTTCTATTTTTGAAGAAAATTCCACCAGATTTGAAATTCTAGGTAGACTTTTTCTCTTGTTTTTTGAGTTGTTTTCTGCCATTCAAATAGTTGTTTTCTAAAAGATAGTTTTGGAAATTTTGCAATTGTTATCTGCAGAAAGGTTAGCTTAGCAAAGCTATTCTGCTTATTCCTGGAAGCTACAAATCTTTAAATTAATTTTTGGAATCCTTTTTATCTTTATTTTCAGTTTTCATAGTTACACCTTAGTTTTTTTTTATATATACATATATATCTGCCCTGTTTTTATTATCACTGCCATCAATTTAGATTGGGCTGTTCTTGGAGTTCTCCAAACAACTTGTTTTTCTTCTTTTCTCTTAATTTCCCAAATTGCAGTGCCTTCTACTTCTCTAGTCAAACAATCAGAAGTTATTTCTTGATACATACTATGTGTTAAAGTCTATGGGAAGGTAATAAACAAAGGACTTTCCTCCATAAAGAAGTGGTTCAACCTTTGGATGTAATGCAAACCTTTATTAACAGTATAAGATACTATCAGGAAAAAACTATATGCAAAGTGCTTTGGGAGCAGACTAGTATTACTAAAATTTCAGTTGTTGCAACCAGTCAGAATAAAAGGAACTTTGATATATAAATTAAGGATACTCAAGGACACTCAGAATTCTTTTGGCTCATGAGGTGGAGTATGGTGATAGTATGATAGTATAAGTAAAAATTGTAAGAGTGATACATGTGATAACTGCTATAGTAGGTAAATCTTCCTGCTAGTAACAGACTCCTAGTTACATTATAAATAAAGTTTTGTGTTTTTTTTTAATATTCGAAGTGGTAAGAGTGGGGAATGAAAGTCATCTTTAGTTGGGGAAAAAATTGGAAACCAACTACAAGGAGTTTATCAGTCGAGTTTCTTTTATATCCTCATTTGTATACTATTTATGAATCAGGCATAATGTATACTTAGTTGACAGTTGCTAGCCAGACAAGTTAATTTTAAGGGAATTTTTCTTCTTTATATTTCAGCCTTGGACCTTTAGTGAGTAAAGTGAAAGAATACCAAGTAGAGACAATTGTAGATACCCTCTGCACTAACATGCTTTCTGATAAAGAACAACTTCGGGATATTTCAAGTATTGGCCTTAAAACAGTAATTGGAGAACTTCCTCCTGCTTCCAGTGGTAAGCAAGAACATTTTTTTCTTATTTAATGGAAGTATTTTCCCCTGTCTTTAATCCCTGGTTTCTTTTATCCTTTCCTGGTCAGAGAGGGAGAGAGATCATAAGAGATCTTTATAGGTATTCCTTTAAACAATTAAGAAAAATCAAAGCCTGAAGCCTTGTTTTTCTTAAAACTAAATTTAACTTTAAATAATTATGATTTAATTTAAATATATCAGATGAATTTTTATATGTTTGAGCAAAATTTTATATTGAATGTGCCAAAACTGCTGAGTGGAGTTGTGCTAGCCTATATGTTGAGGGGAAATATAAATAATATTTTGAGTTCTGATTACTATTCTATTTCCAATATTAATTTTTCTTTGCATCAGAATTTTGTATGTAAAATTTAGCAGTTAAGACATGGCTGTGAACCTGTTCCAGTCACTAGTAACTTTAAACTTTTTATTACTTGGTAATATAAAAATTTTGAATTATAACTAATGAATTTGTTAATAAATAAGCTTTGACCTCTAATGAAGTGTCTATGTAAGTTTTAGAATTGATCTTGACTTGTAAACTCATTAAAATTAGCAATCTACTAGTTATTATCTCATCTGCAAATGGGGTAAAATATTATCTCCCTGATTCATGGGAAGATTTAATTGATAATAATGTTACCTAGGTATGATGTTTTTACTCATTTGCTTAGTAAATACTTAATAATTCACTATTCTAGCCATCATGCTAAATGCTGCTTATGTATTTCACCCTAATCTAAACATTAACCACCCAAAGAGATCTTAAGATTCTCCTAGTTTGTAAATGGAGGAATTGAAATTCAGAGAGATTAGGTTAATTCATCCAGTTTTGATGTCCTAGTCCAGTAAAGATTCAATTTCATTATATTTTGATTCCAAATTGATACTTTTTCCACTATATCATACTAATGTAACTTTATCTTTATTAAGAAGTTCATTTCATTCAAATATTCCACCAGCTCTGACTACTCTATACAACTCAACATTATTTAAAATTGTATTGGCTGTGTTGGTATTTCCTTTATTTTACTTTATTTTTAACCATTTAGATTCTTTCGCAGTTACTTATGTTTTTTTCTCTCATTTTCAGTGGCAACATGAACTACTTTCAATAGTAATAACCTTGATATATGTATGAGTATAGAATAACATTTCTCCTTTATAATGAAACTATACAATCTGTGCTAAAAAGGACCTTTATTAGAGACTACATAGCTATCAGGTTTTCTTTTAAAGAATCTATTAAGTATTGGAGTTCAGAATGTTTTTTAATTCACTGAAATTTAAAATGCTAGGTTACTAAAAAAGAGGACTTAAGTAGAGAAGACTATTGTTATTGCCTTCATTTATGTCTAATAAGTTATTTTATAGAAAAACAGCCCATTTTGAAACATGCTTTTCTGGTGTGGAGCTTTTGAGTGTCTTCATCAAGTTTAGAGTTGTCAAATATTTGATTTCCTCAATGAATATAAGATGGAATTCAACATCTTTGTCTTGAAATTATCATTGGTTTATTATTTATTCAGGTTCTGCATTAGCTGCTAATGTATGTAAAAAGATTACTGGACGTCTTACCAGTGCAATAGCAAAACAGGAAGATGTCTCTGTTCAGCTAGAAGCCTTGGATATTATGGCTGATATGTTAAGCAGGTAAATGTGCCCATTATTTGCATTACTTGTTTTACAGATATTATGTTCATTTATTAAAAATTCCTTTTGGTAAATGTAAAAAAGGTATCCAAAATTATTCATGTTTAAAGTGTCTTACAAATGTATATGGTTGGGGGTAGGGGGACACATAAGCTAATTATGTAAGCATAATTATAAGCATAGTATAGTTCTGAAAATTAATAAAGTTTGTATTTTAAGTTTTTTCAGCACAGTTGTTTTTCCTTTTTTTTTAAACTATTATATTCTTATGTATATTGATTTACTTAGATAGGAAGTACAAGTGGAAGTTACAAATTTTCCAGTTAAATAAATGCTGGTAATCTTTAGTAATCATTGTTTGAATTGCATGGTTTGTGGGGAGAAAGGAACTTGACTTTTTAGTCATTTGTTGCTTTTCTACTTTCTCTTAGGAGAAAGTAAGTTAAATGGTCTGAAGTTATTTAATCCCTGGTTCTTGTTTATTTTTTGTGGCTAACTCAGTTCAATTTTAAAATAATCTTGTGCCTTCATATGGAAGGGTATGTGTGTATATGTAAATATATAGTGAGGTGCTATCATTCTAGCACATGAAGAGCTTATAGTTTACTATAGGAAATGAGAACACAGATGGCTATAAGGCAGAGTGGGACTGAAGACTGGTAAGAATGCATTTGAATTGAAGTGCTGGGTAGCACTTTTAATAGATGAATGTGCCTGTATTGTAGGTATAGAATATTTCCATGTAAGTGGTGTTTTCTAGGATATAGAAGGAATAGAAAAGTAGTAGGAAATCATTTTGATAGATTGGAATCATGTTGAGGTGGGTAGAGATTTTGTACTTAATTTGATAAGCATTTTCAATCCAGTCAGGCTTTCTGTCCTGTGTGTGTTTTGATCACTGGCACTGTCCTGGCACATAATGGGTATTTGAGTACTATTAACTCATTGAACTTTACATGTACATATGAGATTATTTTAAAAGAGCATTTGGAACCATGAGAATCTCTGAAATTTTTGGTATTTTGATTTATAGAGAAAAGAAGGCAAGGAAGAGAGAGGAATGAGGTGAGACGGAATATAGAAGTATTGTGAATCACCCCAGAAACTATGATTAATAGATAAAATCAATTAAAGATCATGGAAGGAAAAAAGTGACAAGAACATTGAGTTATTGCCTAGCCAGTTCATTAGATAGCTTCTAATGGAGAATGTAAATCTAGATTCCAGGAGTTCTAGTACTAGTTCTATATTTTTTGTTTCAATGGTAAAAATAGTGACAATTCAGTTTTCCCTTCATTCTGAATTTGGGTTTGTTTCATCTAAATTTGTACCCTATTGCATATTTATGTTGAGTTCAGAGGACAGATATTTTAGTGTGCTCTGACATCTTGAATTCATTCATTTTTTTCTTTCTTTTTTATTTTAAGGCAAGGAGGACTTCTTGTTAATTTCCATCCTTCAATTCTGACCTGTCTACTCCCTCAGTTGACCAGCCCCAGACTTGCAGTGAGGAAAAGAACCATTATTGCTCTTGGCCATCTGGTTATGAGCTGTGGAAATATAGTTTTTGTAGATCTTATTGAACATCTGTTGTCAGAGTTGTCCAAAAATGATTCCATGTCAACAACAAGAACCTACATACAATGTATTGCTGCTATTAGAAGGCAAGCTGGCCATAGGATAGGTAAGAAATGTTTTAAAGCTGTCTTTAATTTAAAAAAAAAAAAAAAAAGCATGTTTTTAAGAAAAGGTATGTTTTTCTTAGGTGAATATCTTGAAAAGATAATTCCTTTGGTGGTAAAATTTTGTAATGTAGATGATGATGAATTGAGAGAATACTGCATTCAAGCTTTTGAATCATTTGTGAGAAGGTAAGTTATTTAGTTTTTTTTTTTTTTTTTTCCTTAAGAATAGAATAATAGGTCTGGAGCTCAGTGGTAGAGCACTTGCCTGGCATGTGTGAGGCACTGGGTTCAATTCTCAGCAACACATAGAAATAAATAAAATAAAGGTCTATTAACAACTAAAAAATATTTTTAAAAAAGAATAGAATAATTAAAATCTAGAGTAGGTTGTATAAGGAAAAACAGTGCTCAAAATTTCAGCTGTATTTTAAATAGTTCTTTAATAACTGATAGCCAATATTTGAAGATAATGTTATTTTTGTTATCAAATGTGATTATCACATTTACTTTGAAATTGTTTCCATCTCATTATTAGGAATTTATTTTTTAAATGTAGGAAAAGCATTTATAATTATTTCTGCCTCTGTAGAGGGGAAGAGATATAATATATGAAGATATAGCTGCTTTGAGAGATCAATAAGATAAATTAATTATTTGATCAGTGACTTTCAAATCTTTTCAACAGTTTTTGTTTAGATCCCTCATATCTATTTTGCTAAGAACAGTGATACTCATTTTGAAAATTTTGATTCTAATATTTTTTAAAAGCTTAATAAGAATTTTTGCAAATATCTACTCGAAGGCAATACTAACCTAGTAACAGATTTTTCCTTTGGCTAATATAGCATAGTGTCTTGGTCTCACTGGACTTAGTCTTCCAGTTATTCCTTGCCATTCAGGTTCTTGAGAAATCACTTTATAATGATATCTGATTTTTAAAATTGGAAATTTTCTGATTTTCTGTATGAAGAGGAGGATTCTTCATAAAATTAATTAAATAAATATAATTTAAAAGAAATCTTTTAAAATATGAAGACCCTGGAAGAAAAAGTTCAAGTCCAATTGGTGTTAAATAGTCTGGGAAACACTTTTATATGTTATTGATGGTAATAAAGTAAAATGTGGCAGACACTGAATCAAGGAGAAGAGTTGCTTAAAGCAGGTTTTGTTTTTATCTTCAGATGTCCTAAGGAAGTATATCCTCATGTTTCTACTATTATAAACATTTGTCTTAAATATCTTACCTATGATCCAAATTACAATTATGATGATGAAGATGAAGATGAAAATGCTATGGATGCTGATGGTGGTGATGACGATGATCAAGGTATTTCAGATTGGATGGAAGAAAATTTAAATTTTGTGAAAGATCGGTATTATAGATGGAGGTGATTCTTACTGCAAATTATACTACAGTTTTGTTCTTTAGTTTTCACAGTTTCTACAAAATGTTTTTGTCAGAGCATAAATCAGTGTTGTTTTTTGTTTTTTTGTTTTTTTAATTTTTGAATCTGCTAGGTATGGTGATGCAAGCCAATAATACCAGCTACTTAGGCTGAGGCAGAAGTATCACAAGTTCAAGGCCAGTCTGGGAGACTTAATAAGACCTTATCCCAAAATAAAAATTAGAAAAAGAACTGGGCAAGTAGCTCAATGACTGAGTACTTGTCTAGCATGGGCGATGACCTGGGTAGGGTAACGTTTAAAGACATATTAGACTTTCATGAATGACCTAAACATTTCTAAAGTTTCTAAAATTGATGTTACACTGTGATTTGTGGTATTTACTCTGGAAAGGAATGGCACTTAAAGGACATAGGGTTGCTCATGTTTAGTTGTTTCTTTTTGTATTGGAAGAACTTAAGAGATATTTTATGAGTAAATCATAGAGATATTTTAATGGGTAAATATTTTTTAATAATACTTTTTATTTAGTTTGATTCTTTGAATTTATGTAATAAACTTTCCTATAAAGTTTGTAATTTAACCTATCTTTAAAAAAACAACTAAAAATACCTCCCTTAACTTCTCTAGCAGGTACTCCTTGTTTTCTCTCTACAGCAGAACTCTTTAAATTATGTTTTTCTTTTCCTTTCTTCACTTTCCATCTTGAACCCTGTCCTTCAGTGATGTATAATATTGCAAAGGCTGGACTGACTCTGCCTGTTAATTTTAGCAGTATTTTTTTATTTAGCTTTTAGGATACCAAACTTGGCTGGGTTTGGTCGTATTGTTGTGGCACTCCTTTTCCAGGACACAGTCCTTATACTTATTTATTGGACTCTTAATTTTCTTCTGGACTTCATGAAGTCTCCTGACTTTATTAGTATGGTTACAACCCATATCTTATCTTTGCTCCAGATCTTTTCTTTAGAGTCCATATATGACTGTTTAATTGATATCACTGGCCAAATATCTGAAATATCTTCTCTCTACCTTTTGTTCATCCATCTTCAAACTTGTTCTTTCTTTGGTCTTTTTTTTTTTTTTCTCAGAATGGCGCCTCCATTCCTCTAGTTTCTCAGGACTAAAATCTTAGTCATACCTGATTCCTTTCTCTCATATCCCTCCCATCTTGGAGCTTTCCCCTCCTTTGGCATACTTCTATTTCCCTTCTCAGCATTTTAATTTTGTTTATCACAGTTTCTGACACATTGTATGATTATCTTCCACCTACTTGCTGTCTGCAGGGAGACTAGAAATTTTAACCTCTTTATTAACTGCCTATGTCAGTGCCTAGAACAGTGCCTAGTACATAGTAGGTAATACATGTGTTATATTAATGAAGGGAAATCTTAGCTTACGGTGTGATGTGAATATCATTTGAATGAAGCAGTAGCAGTGTATGCTCCAAGTTTTGAATGTTGGTGTTTAGCATGCTAAATAACAGAACAATGTATGCTCCAGGTTTTGAGTGTTGGTGTTTAGCATGCTACTTTATAAGTTTATATGAATTATAAGTAACACCTCCTGTCTTTCATCCATGGTGTTATAATGATTCATTAAGTAAACATAATTTCAGTGATTAGGACATTTGTTAATTTTTTTACATAAAATTGTTTTTAATAAACCTTATATTTCTATGATGCAATTCACATTGTATGTTGAAATTGGAGAAAATTTGATTTATTTATGTTGAAATTGGAGAAAATTCTATTTATTTATTTTCTTTTAAGTCAGTAGTCTTTTCTAGCTGTTCCTTTTAAATTTTATTTAAGTAGGTATGGGAGACTGAATCAAATGTCTTGTGTTTAGCAGTATTTTGTTGAATTATCTATAATGACCAAAAATGAATGAAATTAAGTAAACTATTTGGAGATTTGAAATTTTTATTATATATCATAGAGTCTTCTAAAATCTACTTGGCTATACTTGACTGTCACTAAGCTAATTGGGTTATAAGGCGGTAGAGAGAGATTACCCCTTACCCTCAATGTTCATATACTAAGGGATCATTTAAGAGCTATAGTCTTATCTAAGAATAACAAAACCATTGATAAATAATTTTAGACTGACATGAGAATTGCTTTTTTTTGTATTTGCTTTCTTTCTTGGTACAGTGCCTTTCACAAAGGCTCTACCACTGACCTGCACCCTCAGCCCATAACAATTGTAGTTTTTAATTTTTTTTGTAGTGCTTGGGATTGAACCCAGGGCCTCAAGAACTCTAGGCAAGTGCTGTGCCACTGAGCTGCATCCCTAGTCCAAAACCATTGATGTTTTTGTTGCCTTTCTGACTTTGTTACTCAACTGATTGAACCAATAGTGTTAGGAAGGGAATATTTTTTTTTTTTAAGATTTCACATACACTCACATATACACACTTTTTTTTTTTTTAAATAGTATTGGAGATTGATCACCCCTGCCCCTACCCCAGGGTGCTCTCTCTACCACTGAGCTAGATCCCTAGCCTTTTTTAAAAACTTTTTGAATTTTGAGACAGTGTGTCTCTTACTTGCCCAGCCTGGCCTTGAACTTGAGATCCTCCTGCCTTAAGTCTCTGTGAATTGATAGGATAACAGGAGTACAGCACTGTTCCTTGGCAAATAAGTGAGATATAATGATTATGCTTGCAGTGTTTGTGGTTTAACATTAGGAATTTGGAGAAGTTGATAATCTGTTAAGTGGGCAGTGTTTTCTTTTTATCATGAAAAATGTACAGTGTCTTTTCACAAAATTTTGAAAGGTAGTGTATGCATATTTGTCCTAATAGCACATCAACCAGTTTAGTGAAAAGCTTTGTCATAAAGAAGTTCATTTATATGCAAATTTATACAAGTAACAAGTTCTGTATCTGTTTTTAGTTCTAGTTTTAGTTCTAGTTCTTTTTAAACTATGCTTGCTGTATATGTTAATGAAAAGTTAGATTAACTGTTTTTGATTAAAAATTACCAATTTGCTTTTTCTAAAATGAGATATTTTTCTTACCATTAATATCTTGTTCACATTAAAACTTCCCTTTAGGTAGTGATGATGAATACAGTGATGATGATGACATGAGTTGGAAAGTGAGGCGTGCAGCTGCCAAATGCTTGGATGCCGTAGTTAGCACAAGGCATGAAATGCTTCCAGAATTTTACAAGACTGTCTCTCCTGCACTGATATCCAGATTTAAAGAGCGTGAAGAGAATGTAAAGGCAGATGTTTTTCATGCATACCTTTCTCTTTTGAAGCAAACTCGTCCTGTACAAAGTTGGCTATGTGACCCTGATGCAATGGAACAGGGAGAAACACCTTTAACAATGCTTCAGAGTCAGGTTGGTTTAAAAAAGTATGCCTTAGAAATTCATGATAGTAAATATGCTTCCAGTGTGTGTGTGTGTGTGTGTGTGTGTGTGTGTGTGTGTGTGTAAATGTGAATTCTGAAATATCTTTGGAGAAACAAAGTTCTAAGATAAATGTTTGTGTATCAGTAAATGTTCATATTTACTTATAAATCATTTATTCTAATCAAAGTGTTTCTCATTTTACTTGACAAGTGATATTAAGATTCATTAAAGTAATCTTTATATTTGATATTAATGGAGAATTCTTAGAGCTGTCAGATCATATAGCCATCTGTTTTATCTGTTTTATTTAACCTCTGTCTTCTCATTATAATAAAGGTTTACATAAAAGTATTTGGCTCATGTAGTGAGAGATGAAATGATCTGTATAGTTTCAGTGTAGTGCATATTACTTAGTGCTTGACATATGTCAACTCTTAGTATAATAACATACACATTTTTTACTTGAGGACTTTTTTTCTAAAACATTACATCTTTATAGCTCCCATTTATTGACTAGTATATAGTGAGCATTTTCTTACATGTAATCTCTATAGTAGCTCTATGGAGTATATAAATACTATGTCTTTTTTATTATAAAAGAGATGTTTTAAGTCATTAAATCAGAGAAGGGGATAATACATATCATATCTGTTCAGTTATGATATGTAGCTGTTTAGTATTGTTGAGAGGTTGTTTTTGTTCTTAATCTCTTTTTTAGTTATTGAGGGATTTTAGAAGCTCTGTCTATAGCCTAAATCAAGCTCATCTATAAGAATTGTTGATGGAGACCATATTTAAGTTTTACTAACAAACATTAGAAAGTTTAGACCAGATGTCTACAAATTGTACCCCGGCTGCTTATAGCTACTTTTGAAGTGAGATTGTTTTCCTGGTGACAGGAAACTGAAAGCAAAAAAAACCCTATTTGATGGTTACTTTTCCATAATGTTACTTGTTTTCTTTGTTACTTATCTGTTGTCTTTCTATTTATAAATTAAATTGCTAAATTTTTAGTTGAAAATTATTATTTACCATTTGTTGAATTTTTATTAGTCATGTGCATTTTATAATTAAAAATCAAGGAAAATTATTTTGTTGCTCTGTAGGAAGCTAAGTGATATCTTTTTAGTTTCTTATTAGCTGCAAGCAAATAGTTATAAGAGTTATAGTACATGCAAAAAACTTGGTTTAGATCTAATAATCTTTATTTGCAAGAGCACTAGGAGCTGATTTAGGAATGTAACAAAAAAGAAATAAATTCTTACCTTTTTCTTCATTATCCATAAATTATATTAAATATACTGAGTAAATACCAATGGATGAACTAACTAATGAGTATGTGAAAATTACAGGTTCCCAACATTGTTAAAGCTCTGCATAAACAGATGAAAGAAAAAAGTGTGAAGACCCGACAATGTTGTTTTAACATGTTAACTGAACTGGT